GCAAAATTTTGATACGCTGCTCTTCTTGCTTGGACGGCATTTTGACAACTGAAGAGTGAATTCCAAAATCAAAATAGGAGCAACATTCTACACACACACACCTTCAAAATGAGGGGTGTTCAGGTTTTTTAAATGCAAAATTGAAAGAAATACGTCAAGTTGATATTGACCAAATTTTGACCGTATCACCCTTTATTGCTTATGATGTTTTGTGATTATAAACTTGTTCAAAGTTTCATATTTAAAGAACTACATTGTTTGAGTTTCACCCATTTTTTTTTACATTCATCGAGCATTATCAAAGTAACCCCAACTCAAAAATCTGAAGTTCGTTCACAAAACTAAAAAAAGAAGTGCAAATGCTTTAATTTTCGTTAAACATATTACTAACGAAATGACTCTTGGATCCTCAGTACTTGTTTGAAAAATATAAAATTTGAAAAAAACATTCATTGCTGTGAAAATTATTTAGAATATACTTTAAAAAACTATCAATGTTACCCCGTTTTACGGTACCGACAAAATTTGATATTTTAATTATTTTCAATACAGTTAAATTATGTTTCATTACATTAACTATTGTTGATTATTTGGTGATTACTTTCAATACCGCTAAAAGTAAAATTCGAATTATGACTGTCTTCAAAATATTTAAGTTACTACGATGAATTTTAAATATCACGCACTCATACCTAGAAGTACGTGCCCCTCGAAATGTCCCCTATTTGATGGGTTGTTGGTTTGCGTGGGTGGTGTAGGTTGTTGGGTTCGTGCAAAAAGAGCCTTACAAAAGCTGTTTACAAAAGCTGATAGGGTCTTTTCAAATAGTACGCGAGGTTTTAGGAGAAGTGCCATGTTTTATAATGGGAGATTCAAGAACATTAAAAAAAAAGCGGGGACTTCAACGAAGATCATAAAACATGAAGACAGTTCCATTAACTTAAAGAAAATTGCGAGAGTTTTTAAGAAGTTCTGAAAGCTCCGACAGAAAGTTTAGAAAATTTGAAAGGAGATCATAGACTTTTAGGTTGTTTCATTATATTCATCCTCCCCCGCCCAGAACTTCAGAGCAGTCCCATGAACTTCAAGAAAACTGCAGAAACTTTCAAGGAGTTCCGAGGAAGTATGGATCATCCGAAAAAGCGATTTACATGTTTCGATATGAATGGTCGGAAGATTCATACGAACAGAAGATGATGTTTTGGTACAGTGTACTACAAGTACCTACATACCAGATGCGGTTATAGAAAATAGCTAGATACAGCTGTAGTGGGAACTGGGATTGTGAGATCCTAATGAATGCCCACATCCGCGAAAATTGCCCTGACATTGAATTGTTATCTACGATAAAATAATAAAGCGGGTAATGCTCATCGCTATCACTGTACCGTTGGATCGCAATTTTCAATCATCATTCACGGCCAAGATAACGAAGGAGTTGAAGCAGATATGGCAGTGCGCATTGTTCCGGTAGTGATTTCCTGCGACCGGAATTGTTACACGCATCCTCATCTGTCCTGATTTTCTCGTAGCTTTCCTGAAGTTCTCTCAAACCTCCTGAAGTTATTAGTTATCCTTTTTCTTCTAGGCTGTTCTAGGCGAGCATTTGATCGGTTCTTAACTTAGTGTTCTAGATGCACTTCCACAGTTTTTAATTTTGAGCTTTCTATGCCCGCCAATGCATGAGTTTGTGTGGCAAGCACAATGATCCGCTATGCCCAGGAAAGTCGAGTAAATTTTCAACCAGAAAAATGTCCTCGACCAGACCGAGAATCGAACCATAATACCGTGCCTTTATCGACTAGGCTATATGGTACGTCCTGAAAACCTTTTGGTGCGACAAAATTAGCAGGGGTTTCTACCTAGCATCTTTTCCACGGCATTTATTCCACTGACATGAGTGTAATTCGAAAGGCATTCTGCAGAGAACTCCAAGGGAATTCTGGAAAGTATTCTTGAGGACTTTAGTGGAGAATTACAAGGTAGTTCTTAAAAGAATGGGCTTGGCAAAGTGCACTTTATGTCAATTTTTTCGAGAACTCCAAAGGTATTAGGGACCATCCATAAATGGCATAGAATTGTTTGGTCAATTCTATACCCTCCTCTTCCCTAGTAGCATATTGTAAATGTATTTATGTATAAATGTATTATGTTAAAAATATGATCAGCTATTTCGCTTAACTGGCGAACCGAATTTTTAGCTATGAAAGCGCCTCTGTGGCCAAAAGGGCTACCAATGTATTTGATTATGTTCACGAGGGGAAACCAAATGAAAATTTGTATAATATTTTAAATTTATGTTAGCATATTAAAAATAGTGAAATGATGATTGTTGCTGACCCTTTTCGACGCTAGATATTGCGTTAAGCAATATGTTTCGGGTCGCCATTGCAATATGTGGAAAAGGCATGAATGAATCATATTGTTGATATAATATATCTGATATTTCGCTATACCTTTACTATACATGGTCGGTAAAACTCCTGAAATCCCCCCCCAGCTTCAAATGCTACATCATTTATGTATATTCCCTAACGTTAATGACGAGGAGAATTGCATTTTGATAGTAAAGAATATTCATCAGGAATAGGCATCTGAGCAACATTTAAATGAAACTCTGAGGACGATTCCAAGGGATTTCTGATCAAAATTCCAAAAAAAAATTGACAAGAGCTCTGTAATATTGTAAGTTTTATCAAGGTTTTAAAGCATTCTACAAGTTTAAACCAAATTGTTACATAGGCAAAGATCTCCTACCATGATTTGGATCTGAAAACTGAAGTCTAAGGAGAACATGCCTACCCAAAGTAACCTAACCTAACCTAACATTGCAAGTTTTATCGTGGTTTTTAAGGGTAAAGGGTGATACGGTCAAAATTTGGTCAATATCAACTTGACGTATTTCTTTCAATTTTGCATTTAAAAAACCTGAACACCCCTCATTTTGAAGGTGTGTGTGTGTAGAATGTTGCTCCTATTTTGATTTTGGAATTCACTCTTCAGTTGTCAAAATGCCGTCCAAGCAAGAAGAGCAGCGTATCAAAATTTTGCTCGCGCATCGCGAAAATCCGAGCTACTCGCACGCAAAGTTGGCAAAATCGCTAAAAGTTGCCAAATCAACCGTTACAAATGTAATTAAAGTGTTTGGGGAACGTTTGTCGACAGCCAGGAAGTCTGGATCGGGGGGAAATCGAAAACCGGAAGCCGCTGAGACGACAAAGAGAGTTGCCGGTAGTTCCTAGCGAAACCCTAACCTCTCTCTCCGAGATGCCGCAAATAAGCTGGGTGTATCGTCTACAACCGTGCATCGAGCCAAAAAACGAGCCGGACTATCGACTTACAAGAAGGTAGTGACTCCAAATCGCGATGATAAACAAAAATACGACGGCCAAAGCGCGATCCCGGAGGCTGTACACGACGATGCTGACGAAGTTTGACTGCGTGGTAATGGACGACGAAACCTACGTCAAAGCCGACTACAAGCAGCTTCCGGGACAGGAGTTTTATACGGCAAAAGGAAGGGGAAAGGTAGCAGATGTTTTCAAGCACATGAAACTGTCAAAGTTCGCAAAGAAATATCTGGTTTGGCAAGCCATCTGTACCTGTGGCTTGAAAAGCAGCATTTTCATAGCTTCCGGGACTGTCAACCAAGAAATTTACGTGAAAGAGTGTTTGAATAAACGTCTGCTGCCTTTCCTGAAGAAACACGGTTGTTCCGTACTGTTTTGGCCGGATTTGGCATCTTGCCATACGGTAAAAAGGCCATGGAGTGGTACGCCGCCAACAACGTGCAGGTGGTTCCCAAGGACAAGAACCCTCCCAACACTCCAGAGCTCCGCCCAATTGAGAAATACTGGGCTATTGTCAAGCGGAACCTAAAGAAGACCAAAAAAACTGCTAAGGGCGAGCAGCAGTTCAAGGCAAACTGGCTTTCTGTGGCGAAGAAGGTGGACAAGGTGGCTGTACAAAATCTGATGGCAGGGGTCAAGCGTAAGGCCCGGCAATTCGGATTTGGAAAAGCGGAAGCCTAACTGAATATTTTTCCTGAATTTTATACTAATTGAACTTGAAAAAGAAATTTAATTTGATTTTTCACCGATTTACACGCGTTTTCCCTTGACCAAATTTTGACCGTATCACCCTTTATATGTTTTAAAGGTTGTAGAACAAAAGGTCAAAGGGGCAAAACGTTGAATCACAAAAACACAAACATACAGAAGGTAGAAGGGACAAAAAGTCGAAGGGGCAAAAGTTCGAAAGGACAAAAGGTCGAAAGAACAAAAGGTCGAAGGTAAAATAGGCCGATGGGACTAAAAAGGTAAAGGACAAAGAGTTGAAAAAGCAATATACTGAGTAAAGCAAGCAAGCAAACAAAAGTAAAGCGCAAATAAGCAATTTGACTAAAATTTATAAAGAAATTTATCTTTTTATAAATTCGAAGCAATCTTTATAACATGAGCAACAGTCTTTGAAAGATAAAAGGTATCGAACAATCCAATGAAAAAAAAAATCCAAAGACTTTTCTCATTTTTGGAAATGTCTCCTTCTTTAGGGAACATCGATTAAATACGTCACGCTCTGAGAGGGGACAGTAATTTTACTGATTAAGCCAAAACATCTATAGAAATAAAAATAATAATAACGAATGTACAAACCAAAAATTGGTTGCTCAAGCCGTTTATTATTCTACTGTAGGAGGTGGTGCATCAATTATGTCACGTTTTAAGAGGTGAGAGGGGGTTTTATATTTTGTGATAAGCAATGCATTGGGTGTTGGAAACACGTGACGAAGGGGTGGGTAAATATTTCCTCAATTTAGAGCGACACAGTTAATGCATGACCCCTTGTTACATACAATTTCATTTAGTTTCGTTTCGAATCAGACTACAAGAAATTTTGAAAGTTTTATTATAGTTATTCTTCTAGCAGAGAGATTGAATAACATGCATCTTCCCATTAATTGATCGTACATCTTATTACCCAACACTCCAATTACAGCCATGGACGATCAGCGCGGCCTACGTTGGATAATTGTACTGCTACTCCTGTCTCCACCCGTACTCTTCACCGTTATTCAAATGTCCCGTGAAAATACTCTGTTGAAGTTCGGCTACTACACCATCACACTGATGTACTACCTGTTAATGTTGTTCAAAATGACCGTCATGAGAGTCACTTTCGACAAGACGGAATCCCTGATCAACTATTTCAACGCGCACGTGTTCCATCGGGATGATCCCGTTAGCTATCGGCTCCGTCGGAAGACCTACTTCGTCACGTGGAAAATTTTCTTCTCTTTGGCAGCTTTCAACGTCTTCAACATGTTTGCCTTCATGGCACTCACCAAGCCAACCAGTTCCTATATCGGATTCGGCAACACTGAGATCAGCTGGTATCACGTGGTTCTCGTCCAGATGAATGGCGTTTTCGCTCTGTTGCATCAATGCGTTTATGCAACTTCCATTTTGGTCGTTTCGTTTCTTATGCATTGGTTCCAAACGGAGCTGGAAATTTTGGCGAAAGGTTTCGGCAAAATCTTCCACGAAAAACCACCGCTCGCGCTGTGGAAGAGCGATAACCGGCCGAGGGTCTGGCTGCAGCGAGAGGAAATCAAGTGGACGGGAATCGAACGACGGTTAGTCTACTGCATCAGCCGGCATGGGGAAATAATTGAGTAAGATTTGAGTGGGTTGAACAAATTTACATAGCTTTGTTTTACAATTAATCATTACAGAATGATGAGGATCCTGCGCAAAATAGTGGAACCCATTTTCCTTGGATTAGGGTTCTACATAGTTACCATGATTTCTACTCTCATTTTTGTAATGATCAAGGATAACAGATTTAACTTTATGGGATTTGTACACGTGTTGGTGATAATCATTGAGTTCTACTACTACGCACATCTGGTAGACGACTTGGATGACAAGGTACCTCGCTGCTGTCTAACTGACCGAATCAAAGTATGTCATTTTCTGATTTCTTTTCTCTTTTATGAAACTCAACCGCAGAATCACCTAATCGCTGACGCCATCTACGATCAGGACTGGTTCGGGCAGATGAAACATTCGCGCCGCTTCGCGAAACATTACAAAAGTGTCAAAAGTATGATATTGATCGTGATCATGCACTCGCAAAGGCCGTTTCGCTTCACCTGCGGCGGATTGTACAAAATGACGGTGCCGGTGTTTACCACTATGATCGAGACACTCTACTTTGCGGTGACTTTTATGCTTAGGACGATTAAAATTCAGCGCTAACGGACATTGAGTTGTTTCAAGATTTGGAGGTGGCTAAAAAACTAGAAGTTCATTGACCACATTGATTTGTACTCTTAGTAAGAATAAATTATCGTTGTGCTTTGTCATATTTCATACTCGACTTAAATACTCACCATCTTTATTAATATCCCAAATCACTACTCGCGTCCGGAGTCGTGCAAAGTTCAACGCTAGATGTCGTCCAACACCACCGCCTCCTCCGGTAATTAGTACCACTTGTCCGGAGACATCCTGGAGCAAATAAAGAGAAAGATAAATACATTAACATCAAATATCCATCAGACAGTGATCAAACAAAAACACGCATGCTGCGTTAACACCTCTTCCCAGCCATAAACGCAGTTGACTTTGAACGATTTTTCTCACGCTTCGATAGGCCTGCCATGCCTATTATTTCAAGCTGAATAATGCATTAGGTCCTAAGTAGCATTGACAGATTCTCTTCGTCGACTTTCTCTTTGCATCCTCACGGCCATGTTAAGACATTTCCAGCTATCTTTGCCGGCAGTGCTAATAGTGCCAGTCATCGGACATGTTTGGCAACCCGGTATTTTGACAGCTCGAATGTTTTGTTTTGCTTGCTGAAACCCGACCCGAGATGATAATACCGGAGCTTTGCGAACCGAGACACGGACTGTAAGCTGCGAGATGAATTTGCCTCCTGCCAATATTTGCGAAACATTGCTGCAACCTTCTTGTGCTGGACGATGGACATGCCGGTACAGCAGCAGCAGCAGCAGTCACCGTGACGGGAAGCTAACAGGCTAAAAATAGCCCAGTATCACGACGAGTAGCTGCAGATGGATCGTAATTTCTGACTGCTGCAATGCTTTGGTTTAACCACTAACCTTCTGGGCATTAATCTAATCCGCTGTTAGGTAGAGAACGGATAGAACTCAAACATGCTACGGATAACGATTTTGATTTTCGAGCAGGTTATGGAGCTGGTGGGTATCATGCATTCGGAAGGAATAAAATTTTTGTCGAGAATTAGGGCCACTAGATTTTTTGAAGGTACATCTTTTATCGATCACCAGCGGTGCTGTTTGGAATGTGGGATTTACTGAGGCGGTGTGGGGAGTTGATATACATGCAATGTTGATAATTTTCAGCACAGTAGCGATTACCCTGGCTTTGCTTAATGCAAATGGTCTGAATCTGGGACTGAATGTGTTAACTGCTTCGGACAGGCATTAGGATGTGCGTTGACTATTTTTTGGGCAATCCATGGCGCCAATCACCAATCACGTTTGTAGTTTCCGAAAATTGCATTGATTGTGTAAACTTCAATGATTCAATAAAATGTTGACACATGCGCACTGCGCAGGCACAGATACAATACAGTATTGCCAGATACTTAAAAATTTCTATCCATGGGTGTTAAACATTGCCAATGAGTATGCCCAGGTGTGCCCAAGGCGCACCGGGTGGAGTGACCAACCCCTTGAGGCCTAATGCATTGTTCAGCTTGATTTGATCATTTATCGTAATTAGATATTGAATTTTCGATTTGATCTTACCTTCTAGGCATAGTAGGCTGTCATTAGTGAGTTTACGTTCCAAAAACGGATTAGGCAACATTTGTCACATCTCGCATGTAATTAATTCTTACTCACGCGTAATTTATCGTTCAGTGATTTTTATTTGCCACCTCGGCGAAGAAAAAGCAGGCAACGGTTTCTCAAGCAGACGCAAATTGTATGGCATTTTGAAAAGTTTCATAAATTGGCGCAATCAAATTTCAGGTGATTTGAGTCGATGTCAATTATACAAGGTCTGGCCTCAAAGTGCATTAACACAGGTGGGTTGGAACTAACGATCCGCTAGTGGTGATGATTTATTTGCAGTTAATGTTCATGAAAAGTTCACTATTTTGCAAGGGGTAGGTCGATCCGCACACCAATCAGTGTGCCGCAAGTGTGGCGCAGGTGTGCCGATTGTTCCGGTCATAGTGCAAGCAGCTATTGTTTAAAATACCCATCCCGACAACCCGGTATTTCACCTTGAATGTTTTGGTTTGAAATCGCAAGGATAAATCGGATTGAGGATGACGCGGGAAGTGGCGGGAGCGCAAAATTTTGGTGTTTTGTTTTCATAGCATAATAAAAGTCCTGTGTTTTAGGGTTTTATAATGCCCTCAATGGCAGACCAGAATCCTAGCTTTTCGTGATGTGAAAAGCAACGGTCTATCAGCGGCCGGAAATAGTTGGAACCGGTGGGGAACATTGTTGGAGACTGACCATAGAGGATGATTCAGAATAGACTTCTGTAGTTTGTTTTGTGTGAGTTGCAGCATTATTTGAATTAAGGGAACTAATGAGGTATGATTACTTAGTATAATTTCGGCACAATGTGCTGAGTGACTTACTTCTTGCTATTTTGCCATAAATGGTGCCGAAACAAAAAGGTTTACGGTTGGACAGATTTGGTTGGACCTGTTTCATGCTACCAAAAGTTGTATGCTGATCACAAATGCCTTGTCAAATTGACTTCCTACGCAAGTGATGTGAATTTCGCGAATAAACACGAGAAGCATTGACTATAGCAAAATTTGCCATATACAAGCGTCTTAGTTCATTTGCGTATTTAAAGTAAGGCCATTCGCAATGCTGAGTTTCAAAATTGTTTCAAACTACTCGACAGTTCTAAAATTTGAAACTGTCAGAAATGAAACTGCAACGCGATCAGCGGAACGCACAGTTTTAAAAGGTGTTTGATATTCATCCCTACATATGTGTGCGTGTCAAGGGGTAATCAACTCTACACACTGTGCCGCAACACAGCATGGCACACTATTCGGCTCTTTAGGACAAACGTTGACAAGTAGGATACAATCGACATAATATAAAACGGCATCACTGTTGAGAGTTGACGTTTTGCCAATAGACCTGTGCACGGGTGAACTTTAGTTCATCTACTGAAATTTTTTTAACACAACAGCGGGGCCCTGTTACTGAAAATGAACACATGAATAATGCTCGCGTAACATTTGAAAAGGGCCTATCAACTTTTGTAAATAACTTGCTAAATCCTTTTCACGAGAACCAAAGCACTATTGGGAAGGGGAGAATTTCCTCTGCCCGATGGTGTTGTTAGTTTGCGTGAGCGTATTCGGTTCGCGCGAAAAAGGTTCTACAAGTTTTGTGTACATAAGTTGATAGACCCGTTTCAAATGCTACGTGAGTATTATTCATGAGTGAACTCAAATCCATCCGTGCACTCGCCTACACTGTACACAAACATCATCCTCTGATCGAATGAAACCTCAGCCCATTCAAAACAAAAGACCGAAATCGCTTTTTCGAATGATAGCTGCAACCGGATGACGGTTGTTTTGAAATCAGATGATTTTCCTCTCGAATACTGGATAAAATTTGTAATGAGAAGGGATAGGGCCTTCAGTTGAAATGCGTAATGCTCTCTGCAGAATGGCTGTCATACTAAATGGAAATGCATATGGTATTGGATCAGCCCCATAACGCAAATCATTCAAAACGATGATGTAAATAATTCTATCGAACGTCATTTGCTGATCTGAGCTGACAAACAAGGTGGAAGCATATGCATCGCTATCAGAGCTGTTACGAACAAAGGTAAAGGATGAAAACCAATGTTTGGCTAATTCGTGGTGGAGGAGGTTTTCTCCACCACGAATATTTTTTGTATCCATAATGGAATGGCTTATTATGGCTATTCAGTATGGAATTAAACATAATCAGATTATAAATCTAATTAAAAGCACTTGCATGTCACACTATTCTTAAATGTTTGTCCTCTGAGTGCCGTATGTTTTATAGCTAATTTTCAAACGAAAATCATCCTGTATTTGGATGACAGTCATATGGATGTTCATCATCTGACGACGAATTCAACCATAAGAAAATCATCCGAAATTCGAATGCATATTGTTAAAGGGCTCGAGCAATGCAATAATCATTCGAAGTATTGCGGATGTTTTGGTTCAGTGTATCGTTGCTAAGGTTGTCTTCTTTGTTTACTCCATTGGGCTTCGCATTGGGTTCGGATTCCAAGGAAAAATGCTGTGAGTATTGCCTGCACCTGTCTGTACCTAACTTTATCTCATCTGATTCGTAGCGAAAATCCCAGCGGCTTGAGGTTGCGTCCAGAATAGCTTCACGCCAACAGAGGGTCGTTACGACAGTCAAGATGGCCAAAATGGGTTCCCTTCAGCAACGGTTCGTCAAATGCCTGTAAGATCTCCAATACGATGGTATGGTGCTGAATGCGATCGGCGAACTGAATGGACAAATATCCTCTGAACGACGACAATATTGTTCCAGCTGCGGAGGATTTTCGTTTTGTTTTACAAGGTTGTTATGCAGAGCGAACTATAAAGAAACAAATCGCATCATAGAGGGTGTGGGTGATGGGTTTTGTATTTCGGCCATGTTTGAATCCCGGTCTTGCCAAGGATCATCACATTTTATCGTTTTCTCCTACGTTTTTCCTTAGGTATCCTTGCCAGTCATTGGTTTCAATTTATATGGACTTCGATGGGAAATCCACAGGACTTTATAGGGATGTCCATACAAGTCCCAGTACTTATTGGGTGATGTCGATACGTATTAATCCCAAATATTCCATCAGGTCTGGACGATTGCATTAGCAAAACAGTAAAGGATTTATAAGAACAGATCAATGCAATCAAAAATGTACTCTGTGAGTACACCCCATCATCAACGATCCAATATGCACTCTTCTGTTGCACTAGTTCGTCTTCAAAGGATCCGGTGCGATGTGGCCTACCACATCAATCAATTATTTGTTGTTCGGCAAGATCCCATGGGCATGCAAAGCAACAACAATAACAGGGTAAACTTGAATTGCAGATGCGAAGTTTATCTGGATCATGCACCATTTCCGTGGTATGACAGATATGAAGTGGGGGGACATTAGATGGTTTTCCCTGGTGGTACATTGACCATTGGTTTTAATTTGTGGTACCTTGTGGAAAGTATCACATCTGCAAAGGATCGTGAACTTGATAGCCTTGAACGTGTGTTATTGGGTGATGGTAGGAGTCATCACTATCTGCGATAAAATAGGCTTGGGTGATGTCTTCGAGGTAGCGTAGTTTTGAGTAAAGGGTGATACGGTCAAAATTTGGTCAAGGGAAAACGCGTGTAAATCGGTGAAATCGTTTATTTAAAAAATCAAATTAAATTTCTTTTTCAAGTTCAATTAGTATAAAATTCAGGAAAATATTCAGT